ACGAAATCTTCAACTTTCATTTTAAAAATTGTTTATAACTGCATCACGTGACCAGCCACGCCCTGTTTTATCGAGAAATCCTTTGGGTCGAAATGCCCACTATGTAGAAAGCAAACCGTTTTCCTTTTGTAGGTCCAAACAGTGGCTACTGATAGTCTTCTTGTAAAAACGGGTGGAATGAAACGAAGTCATTTAACGTCTTTCTCCTAACGAAAATTTTATTAAGAGGAGGACTGGCACTAGTCAATGAACACCAATTGCACCTACAAATTGTAAAGATTCCAACCATTCCAGGCTGATTTCGTAGACACTTTGTAGGGTTAAAGTTTTGATACAGAGAAACTGGAGTTACACGTTTAGGAAGTGGTGGGCATCGTTAATTGAAATTTATGAACAGAAGAGGGCGTGGTCGATCACGTGACGAGGTAATTTGGATTTTTTTTTCAAGTTTTTGTTAAGGTTAGTTTACTTTACCTCCTGTTTTTCAAGGAGGATGTCTTTAACAATAGTTTTGGAAAATTTGCATAAAAATCGCAAATCACGTAGAACCAGGCCTTAATCTACTTGAGTGAGAGTCAGTTATGGACTTTACTTAATACAAAGACTTGGAAAGCGAGGTTGAGTGAATGTGGGTGCTCAAAACAACAACACTCCCGTTGGTTATGGGACCCCTTGGCACCATCAAGAAGGACACGGAAAACTACTCCAACAAAATCCCTGGCAACATCAACATACATGAACTCCAGAAAATAACTCTCCTTTCTCCTTCTCAGGCGGGTCCTCTCCATTAAGTAGAAACCCTCTTTGCCACCCAAAGTCCATGGTTTGGACTCAGATGTTCATAGAGAAAATCAATCCAATTACACTTGTATATCTTATATAATAATGATGATGACTTTATTTTAGTGTCAATATATTTAGCTAAACAGTTAGCTAATTGGGGTCACTTTCCTACTTACTGGCACACTAATCTATTACATGACGTTTAACTTAATGATCTCACCTTAAAAGAGACAAACAGACAAAAGATCGAAAGTACATGCAAGGCACTGAGTCTACCAGGAAACACTAGGGACCTTAAGCAAAAACGAAGACAACGGCAGTAAAAACATCACTAAAAAAATGAATTTGCGTCCTTTCAAACTTTATCGCGTCTATTTGGAACCGCTCAATTCGTAAATGGTAGGCGACTTTTCCTAGAGTTGAATTCTTAAGGGCGTTATCCATGTTCAAATAGAGAAGGGAAAAATTGTCATGGTATGTCCATGTCTTCCATAAAACGTCGCATTGGGAGGTTTCACGTCGTAGTCGTGCAGTGGACGTTAAAGAAATGTACCAAAAAGCGTGATGCACGTGCAGAGCAGTTGTTTTGCTCATCATGAAACCAATTGTTTTTTGACGTTGTTGTTGTCGTCGTCGTTGTTGTTGGTTAAGGTCCCTACTGAGCAAAGAAGGACGAGGACGTTAACACAAAACAAAGATTTTCTTTTTCTTTTCCTGAACTTTGATACAGTCTCTGGAATTCAACTCCAGAAATATTTGCCATCATCATTTCACGAATTGAACGAGTTGGAATAAGGACGATAATGTTTGAAGTAGCGCGTTTTCGTAGCCGTCGCCGTCATTGCCCGGGGGGGGGGGGGG